TCTGAACCATCTCGATGCGTCGTGTTTTGAGGGGTTTGAAGGGCGACTGCCTCTGAACCAGGGCACGCCATTGCGTTGTGATCATTTCCTGAAAAATACGACCCCCCTAATTCCATCTTCAAGTACGACCCCCCTACGTTACCTCTTCCCTAGATTTTTCCAACCTCCTACCACTTTGTCTATTTTTTCCCAAAAAGTTTCTGGTTTTTTTACAAAATTTTGCTGTCGAGCGGGGGGGGGTCGCAGTACCTACGTACGTCCCAAGCACGTCCAGCACTCTGGCGCTGGTGTAGCATACTGACAATACGTACGAGGAAGGGGCGATGATAGGACCTACGATCACCGCCCACAAGGGCCCCATGAATTTATAAAAGGACTCACGACCGTGCGGGACGGACTTAATAAAACAGATTGAATCCAGTACATTCCCGGACTTTTTTGCATCGTAGGGGCACATTTGGGCTTGCATCTGGGAATGCCCTACTCTACGATGTTACACTCTTCCCAAACACCTGCGTGGAACTAAGCCCCATGCATGGCGCATTGCATATGTGATGCCAATTGGCGCCCAATGGCCTATTACCTGATATGCTTGACGAAAACATGTGTTTCAGAAGCATACCAAAGTCTTCGAGCCAACTGGAGGTTTCCTGGCCTCGGAGGGGTTGATTTTTCGGTGTCGTGGGGGGTGATTACAAAATGATCACAACGGGGAATTTTTTTCGAATAGTAGGTCTAGGAAGGAAATTAAAACCTTGCTGGAAAGTAGAAATCTTCAAGCTTCCGGCACAGTTCTTTTTTTTACGAAAGGTCGTGTATGAAGCTTGCCATGGACGTCCAAAGCGTAGCGACTCGCGGTTCGCAAAAATGATCACAGATGGATCACAAAGATGATCACAACGGGGAAAATCTCTGGAACCGGAACGTTTTTGAAATCGCTCAATTCAGGTGATAAGAGCCAACCTAGCTCTACTCATTCCCACTTACCCCTCTCCGATAGCTTCACTTTCAACGAAGTTATGGGTGTTCAAATGAGGGGTACTTTTCACGTGTTTGGCTTGAAATTGGCTCCAAACCGTAAAATAGCGCGCACCAATGCGCTTGTATGAGCGCGCTGACCGCGAACAGCCAAAATTCAAAAGTAATCCATAGTTCCGGTTCCCAGCTGGCCTGGTGAGTTTTTTTCTTATCCATTTGATTGTTAATTATTTTGATTGTTTGTTTTTGTTAAGTTTGATTTTGTTTTGTTGAGTTTGGTTTTGTTGTGAGGAAATTGCTCAGAATTTTCAATATTCCTTTCATTAGGTAGCTTTTGCACATGCGATTTTTTTCTAGATTTGCGGCATTTAAGTGGATCGCGGATTTTATCTAGATCAGATTGAGAGTGTTGGTGGGATGAAGGTCTTGGAGTTTTTTTTGAGGAAAAAGTTTCAGCAATATTTTTTTTAGTTTTTTGGCCTAGGAATAGTTCGATAGTGCCTAGTTCTATTTATTGTCATCTACATCGTCCCTTTTGAGCTTCTTTTCACTTGTACCGTGTATCACCGCTCTCTCCACTTCAACATGGGCCATGCGTTTACGACCCCCCCCCTCCATCGCGGGCAAATACGACCCCCCTGTTGTGATGATCACAAAGATGGCGTGCCCTGTCTGAAACACGACATATGGCGGAGATAACATGAAGAAGAGGTTATGAATTCTGCGCAGGGCTCCTGACCTTCTCATCATCAACCTTAGCTCAGAGCTTTCGAATGCACGTTTTTATGTCACTGACTGCACCATTCTGATCATAACTTATGGCGTACAGTTTAAAATTTAGATCGAAAGCGCTCCCTCTCATTCGTAGGGTCGCAAAAGTTTAGATTAAAAGCTGTCCCCCACCCAACAGATTAATCACGATTTAACGATGTTGGAGATTTCCTGTTGATTTGGGTATCCTTCAGGGTGAAGGAATCTCCAGTTCCTGATTCTGGAGTGTTGCAGGACTTTGTTTCTGGACCCAATATCTTCAGACTCTGTAGCCGGCATATACATTATGCTGAAAAGGGATCAGCGCTAAAATGCATCCCTGAGAGCACGTATCCAATTACATACAAGATTATTCTGCGAATAATCTCATTACTAGGGAGATTCATTGAGTACTGCATAGAACTGAGCAAATGTGCAAAGGAGCATACAACTCAACGGAAACAGGTAAAAACGTTAGAAAAAGGACATGCAGTTGCAGTAAAACGAAACAGCTGTGATACAAGCGATTAGAGATGAAGAGATTAAAATTAGACCCGTCAAGCCGGCAACTTAAGAAGTTGCGGATTGGGGAGAGGTGTGGTAAGACAGCTAAAATATAAGTATTCGCGAGTTGAATGAAGCAAAGCTAAGAATCTTAAAGGGAAAGATTTTGTGGAGTTTGAAGGCCCACCTGTTCACTTGTGATGTACTCAGGTGCCATGCCCGCGACGATATCCTCTTCGTTGTCGAACGAACTCAAATCGATGATTTTCTCAATGATTTCTGAAGTTATTTGAAACAATTTGCCTAACTTTTCGTAGGTATCTCAAGATATGGCATTTTTGTGCAAGGCAGAGACTCGACACTATCCACGTATGGGACAACGGTGGCGAGAAACGGGCGCACTAAATGGGACTTAAGCCCGCCGTCCATTTGACACCAGAAGCCGATAAAAGCTGCAATGTTACAGCTGCGTGAAACCAAGTCGCTAAGCAATGCCGCACGACGTTGGATGTGCTGAGCTCCAAGCGCGCTCAGAATTTCCTGTCACTAACGGTTTTCTGCTCCGCGTCTGGTTCGTCCTACGACGGCTTCCTTTAGCATTCCCAACGCTCCACCACGAATTACCTTACTGGCTGGCACCAACATCATTTGACATGAAGTGTTTAAACCTTAATTAATTAATTAATATGCAGCTGAAGTACGTTGGTTGAACCAGAACTGAGTTGCACCTGGCACGAGCACTACGCAGTACGGAGTAATTGGCTGAACAAATCCGATTGCCAACGTGAAGACGATTAATGATCCTAAGGAGAACAAAAGCAGCAACTTTTGCTTCCTAAACGAGATACTATTAATCTAAAAAAAACTTGAATTCAATTTGATATGCCCGATCTAGTTCTTCTGTAAAAACACGATACATAAAATAAAGAAAAGTAAAATATAGTAATGTTGGAATAGTTGGCTTCTGCTGACAAGGAATCCTACGCCGAAAGGAGCACCTGCAAGTCCCTTTAGTGCACACTCAAAATCCCAGAGATGCGCTAGACGTGCATGCCTGAATCGAAGGCTGTGGCGGCCAAGGTTTTCGTGAGATATTTTCCTTTTGGGACAGCTGTGATCATGTCCTTATCCAACACACAACAAGATGACAGTTGCCTCAAATTGAAATATCTCGCGAGCAACCCATCCTATGCCATGTTCAAACGCCACCTCTTTTCCGTCTCAGGGAAAAAGAGTGTACTCCCTGCATCCGATTTTCACCCACTGAGCCTCATGGTTCAGATATGGGTAATGTTGTCGTTGTTCCTCACTCAAGTTCGGGTCTACTCTAACTTTTAGCCAAACCTCAGTACTCTTTTTTTCCAGATGTTCTCAAGTCCGCAGATGTACTGTAATTTTTGGCCAAGCACACAACACTCTCTCTCTTTTCAAACTCGTGATATCAGAACAAGCACGGTTTCGACCGTCCATGGGCTAATTATAGCTTTGTTCAGTGCGTCTGCGGAGACGGAGGGGGGGGGGGTCAGCCCCACGGCAGAACGTTGGCCTCAAACCGCTGTCGCTTTCCCCACTATTGAAGGAAAACGAGCTGGCGCCGCACGAAACCGAGCCGCTTGATACGCCCTGGCATCCGCTTGGAAGCAGACTATAAGCCATTGGACATGACCTTTCATACTTATTCTTCACGCAGCTTCCCTTTTGTGGACCTCACAGAGATCATTCCAAAGTTAAGGTCATTCGAGGCGGGAGGCAGTTTTTTAGCTCTACCACATTGCATTTAAAATTACGGTCCCGCAAAAAATGGTATGTTGACGAATTATTCTAATCCAAGAAACCTGAAAT